GGTTAGCATTAGCAGACTTAGCAAACAGTATGGAGTGGATGATGGCGCCACTTAGTGGCCAGGAGGAGTTAAACTTGTAGCTATGATCAAATCATCTCTTGTAAAGACGGTTCTTCTTTTTTTAATTTCAAGTTGTTTTATTGTTGTTTTTATTTAATATTTTATTGACTGATGTTCATTAGTTCAGTTTATTTATTCTCTTTAGTTGAGGTTTAAATAGCTGATTTTAAAAAGGCTTTTTCCCTGCTGTCTTCCTTACAGTACATCCGCACATGCCTTCAAGCCAAAGAAACTCCTCACCTCACCCTGGTCCACTCCAGCACCATCAAGGCCATGTTTGACAAGGAAATGTCTGCCATCGGAGCTGTGGTTAGCCGCAAGTCCTCCAACCCACCGTTACCGCTACCTCCCAAAAGAAGGAACCCCACGGTTAGTCCCCCTGAAGCCTGTCTGTGTGTGGGACCATGTTTCCCATTTCACTTTATTCACGTATAGTTAGTGAGGTTATTTTTCTGGTCCTCACTTCTTTTGTAAGGAGGTTAGTTAGGTTACAGTTTAGGTGTGAAATGAGTTGAGGTTTATGTTATGGTTAGGTGCAGGAATAGGGTTGCTGTCAGGGTTAAGGCGTAGCTAATGCCATTTGTAGAATACAGATCAGTAGCTTGTTTTGTCGGCTCAAATTTTTTATATTTCATTATATTCTTTTATTTCAAAGCTTGAATCAATTTCAAGTTATAATTTCTGCTTTAATTTCTATGTTTTTTTGCAAAAATGACCACAGACTTATTGCGTATTCACAGCAAATCAGTCTGGAAAGGAGCTTGAGTTGTTTTTATTGATTCATTTATTTATTTTTAAAGAAAACTTTTAAAGACATTTTCAGCCCACATAATAATTAAAATATTTAAACATCGCTCCTTGAGGACACCGGTGTTGGGAATGTTACATAAAAATAGTAACTAGTTACAGTTACTAGATTCTTCTCAAAAAGATACTAAGTTAGTAATTCAGTCACTGTAAACTCAAAGTAACTACGAAACTTTGCTGCTGTCAGAACTTTAAATTCAACTAGAAGTCCAGTTATGAAATATACAAAGTTTTAAATTAATAGATGAATTAAATAATTAATCAAAAAGGACCAACCATCTGAAAACATTTACTGATCTCGAACATAGTGATGACAGTGAGGTGCGGTATATTTATACGCATATTTACAAGTTAATTAAATTATGTTTTAGTCATAAAGGGTCTAATAATTTTTTTTATTTTCAGTAACAACCTAAATAATGTCATTTTAACATCATGTGTTGCGCAATAATTGCTCCTCCTTTCATGTGGTTTTCATCATTAATGTTTGATTTCCAATTAAATTTTAGTTTTGTTTAAATCAATGCTTTATATTATTGTGTAATTTCCATTTTATAAAAGGAATATTTGGGAAAAACTGGCAGCAAAGATCAGTTTAAAATAATAAGCATCCATATCATCCTTTAAAAAAGGCTGTGTTGGTCCATCGCTACTTTCAATGCTAATCTTTACAGTTATGACAAAAACCTGCTGATGCAGCTACAATTTGGTCAGCTACAATTTGGGAGAGGTGCAGCGGAGCGTCTGTGGAGGGGGCGGGACGTCTGGAGCCGAGGTATTGCATTGCACTCATTGCACTGATTTAGTGCAGTATTTTTTGATGCAAAGCCTTTCAGAATCTATAATGCTGCATTCACACAGGGCGTAGCTGGTGCGGCAGAAGCAGCGAGTTTACATGCAAAGTCAATGGTTGACGCGCGTCAAGGCGCAGCAAAAGGTCCCGCAGCTCGTCTGAGCAGCTGAAGCAGCGCGTCGGGCGCGTTTAAGCATCTGAAGCGCGTGACGCGCCGCAAACGCTTTGCTGCTCGACATGGAAAAATTTAACTTTTGCTGCTCGACGCGCCGCGTCAACCAATCAGAGAAGCTGATCTGTGAGCTGGCCGTGAGACAGACGCATCGCTGATGACACAGAGCGCTGTGATCACTCCTCTGAAACAGTTTATTGACGCATAAATTAACTTAAAATGCAGAAATCTGCCGGCAGAATATGTTCGCTTTTATTATCCTGCTTCCTGCAGTTTAGATTATTTAGATGAAAAACACCTACCAGCCGCCGCGGTGAACCGCGAGGAGGCGACCCGGCCAGAGGCTGCTGTTGAATGGGATCCTACTGACAGCGCACCGCTGGTATGTGGGGGTCTGAGCGGCTCCGACAGAAATAACATTGGGAGGCAGGATGATAATCTGAATGAACTGACTGCACTGATGCAGTTTTCAGGTGTATTTTCCCACTTAAAAACATGTTAAAACTACTTTATTCCCACTGATCACAGCAAATATAGCTGCAAGACAGAGAAAGGATAGAGAAGCTCCGCCCAACGCGCGTCAGACACACTTTTGCACCGCGTGGCTGAAGCAGCTGGTACAAGCAGCAAAAAGGAAGCAGTAGACGCGATTTTGCTGCTCTTGCTGCGTCCGGTGTGAATGTAGCATAACGCAGGGGTATTATTATTATTCTTTAGTGAATGAGGTTTTAATAGGAATAGGTGGAGAACAACTTTTCTACTTCTGTTATTTGCTGTTATTTCTAAAAAAAAAAAAAAATGCATATCGATATTACAGCTTTCATTTATTTATTTCAAATTTGAAACATTGTCTAGCCTGTAAGGTGTAAAAAAAAAACAATCGAATCGAATTGTTGGGTCAGGAAATTGATACTGAACCGAATCGCCATGATGGGTGTGATTTACACCCCTAGTGTGAACTGAACTTTAAGCTCATTAATTTTATGAACTGGAACAACATTGGTTTTTTTACAGAAAGGGTTGAAAACCGGCTCCTCCTTACATTTAGCGAGCTGAGAATGTTTGTCTGCTATCTGTTCAGCCTTTGTTAATCCAACAGAAACGGATGTAAAGTATTCTCTTTAATTTCTGCCACTTCATATAACCATGATCTTTCATTTTATATCTTTACAGCCGTGAACAGCTTTGTTTTTGCCACTATGGGAACATATTCTGTGTACCTTAGATAACGGCTTTAATATCCTGCAGCGTTTACTCTGGTCTTCTTGATGCACCAAAAATAGTCGAAGCCCCACAGAGTGATTGATTCTCCAGCGCAGGATGTCACAGGTGTGGAGGTTTACAAAGTAAACACTCTTGGCAGCTGCCATCTGGCTCTTTATGAGGCAGCGTTTAAAGTATGTCAGAGTCGGAGCAGCAGCCTGGCAGCGGTTTGCGGGTCGTCAGAGGAGGGCAGCGATTCCTCGTTGCTTTTCAAATGTCAGGCTGGTTTTTTAAATTGGCCTTCATTAGAGAGACTCCTGCTGAGATTCTGATGCTGGCCGGGCTATAGATCTACCTGGGATGTTCGGCTTAAAGAGTGGATAAATATCGGGCTTTAATCAGGCCGTCATCTGAAGTTTTTTTTCCATTTATCACAGGGTTTGCTGACATTTATTCATGTGTTTACAGTTAGTCTGATGAATGTGACGCTGCTTTAGCCTCTGTCACACCTTGCTGATTTAGCCAGCGTACGCCTGACGTCCCAGATTTTTTGGGGTGTACAGTGAACCCTCGTTTATCGCAGGGGTTACGTTCCAAAAAGAACCCGCGATAGGTGAAATCCGTGAAGTAGAAACCTTTTTTTTTTTTTTTTTTTTACAGTTATTATACAATGAAATACTCCATAAAACATTGAAATCAAGTAACAAAAACTTTTTACAGGCCCTAGCATTTGTTTAACAAATAAAAGTACTGTGTAAACGTTTGTTGTTGTTTTTTCTTACAAACTACTGTACTGTAAAATAATATAGTTACAAATAAATAAATATTTTAATCATCAATACGAACTGAAGGGTTAATATTGCGGGTGTCATGTTCGGCTTAATCTGCCTAACCCACATGCAGAACACTCGGAGGCAGAAGAAAAAGTTCAAAAAGTTTATTGAACAATAAATGTGCTACAATGGATCAGGTTCAGGTATAGGCTTGACTGGTCACAAGAGAGTTCTGGAAAGCACACAGGTTATTCAGATCCAGGAAGTGGTTTAACTGGTCACTAATGGGTTCACTGCAGGGGAGGACAGTGAACTTTAGCGGAGGTCCAGGGAATATTGCAGGTTGAGAGTGTGTCAGGGCTGTACCTGTTCTTGAGTGGAGCAGAGCTGCAGAGGGGGGACCTTGAGGGTCCAGAGGCTGACGGCAGGCAGAGGGCAGAGGCGGAGGCAGAGCTTACGGAGTGCAGGCAGATCACTGATTGAGTTTCCGGTTATCTTCTGAGAGCGGGCAGGCAGATCTTTGACAGGAACTGTTCTCCTGAGAACTTCTGAGAACAGACAGGCAGATTACCAGCAGAGAAACTCTCCAGAGTTTCAGGTTTTAGGCAGGTTCAATCGTTACTGGCAAACACTCTGGCACTGGAGTGAAGCCCTCCGCCTCCTTAAACACGGATCTCCTGATGAGCAGATGAGGAACAGGTGGCGCCATCTGCTCCGGCTCCAGGAGATCTCGTACGCCCTCTGGTGGAGAAAGTGGACAGACCTCCAGATCCCAACGGCGGGGATCAGCACCACCCCAACGTGACGGATTGGAACGGGAGAAAATGAAAAATGATTATGAAAACATACAAAGTACTGTAGGACAAATAGTGACTCGTGTACAGTTCAGTATTTCTCCGCTGTTCTGACGGAGCCGCTGCATCCTGACTCTGTGGCGTTTTTTTCTTCTAAAGCCTGCGGTGCAGGTGTGTTTTTTGGAGAGAAGAACATAGTTATCGGTAGTTGTTGTCGCTCTTTTTTTCTTCTGGGCCAAAAGATCCTTATAAACCGACATGCCACCATTAATATGATTGACAATAAAGTTTAACAATGTATGATGCAAATCCGTGAAGCAGCGAGACCGTGAAAAGTGAACCACGTTATAGCGAGGGTTCACTGTATACATACTGTAGCGTTTTAAATGTTGGCTGATTTATTCCCATATTCAAATTTTGATATCTTGATATCAGACCAGAGTCAATACCAGAAGGAAAAATAGTATAATAGTTGATTTTTATTTATTTTTGACCTATTCAAGGGTTGATGAATAGATACATTTACAGCTCCATATGTATGGAGTAAATTTTGTTCCATTTTTTTTTTAAAGAACATGTTTTGTAAACGGAAATTAAAAAAATATTTATTAAATTGAAATTTGATTTAAAAAAAAAAAGCAATCCAGAAATGCAACTTTATAAAAACCTCTTAACCAAAAACAAACTTAGAGAATTTTTTTGTTTATAATTTATTTTTACAATTCTTGTATACATATATGTATATCTATATATATATTGATATATATAATTATAATTTGTTTTATATATATAATTTTTTTTATTGATTTTTCAAATTTTTACAGCTTTTATACTTTAATACATACTTTGAAAATGCAATACGTCAAATACATAAAAAAATGGAAAAACTAAGTTTTGAAAAAATAAAATATGTGAAATAAAGGTAAAAAAAAAAAAAAAACCTGAGAAAACAGCGAAGTTGGTTTTCCTGTTTTCAAGGACAAGGAGGAGATGAATTCATGTCGGTTAGATGAATTCGTTAATTAAACAACATTCCAGTATGCATCAGAAGTAGATGAGGAAAAAGCATTATGACAGTTGAAGGTTTAATACAACAGAAAGTAGATTTTTGCATTAAAACTGGTTATAATTAAGGTAATAAGTTTATAGAATATTTTTGCAAGCCCTAATAAAAGGGATTTATTAATGTAAAATAGTTATTATTATTATTCTTGGTTCTGAGGTAATCCTGGCAAAAACAGAGCTGCCTTTACTGCTTCTCAATACAAACTAGATTAAATCTAAAGATGTTAGGAATGGATTAAGGGATGGGAATGTGAGAGATAATGGGTAAAACATGTTCAGTTGTTGTGGACTTGGAGCTGTACTGTGCCTCGTTTCTGATAAGCGACTGTAAATACTCCATATTGTCACGCTCACATGAGTTCCAGCCACACAGATGGCAGGAAGTGGGCCACTTAGTCACGTCTGTAGTTTTTTTAGGCATCATGTGAGGCTGTTTGCTCTGTTGCCTGCTGACCCTCGCAAATCCACTCGCCCTGACATCACTGCGACCTGCCTGACCTCGGCCTGTGCTATGAAGCGCCGCGGCTCTCTGCATACTTTTACACTCACGCCGGCTCTCCCTTTCTGCTCTCGCTCTTCCCCCTCAGCAGGTCCAGACGTGTGTGTGGGACGTGTCGAGCCCGTTCAGGATAGTCCTCGTCAAAGGCAGCAAGGTGAACGCTGAAGAGAGTGCCAAGGTAAACTCTACGTGAAACGCTCTTTATGTTTAATAGATGACTGCAAACACAGCAGTGTCACATCCCCTTCAAGCTCACTAATATTACATCTTTCCACATCCAGGTTGTTTAAACCGCAAATATTAATGTGTTTTTGTTGCTTAAATCAAAACCAAATAGCCAGAAGTGGAAGAAAAACGTAAATGCTTTTGCTCAAAAGGTGTATTTAAGCAGGATTATTATTCAAGAGGAAACAAATTAAACTTTTTTATTTTTAAATTATGATTTTTAAACAGTTACCCTCCTGGTTTATATAGACCAGAGAATATGGGCCTTTTCATTTAATCATTAATCAGCCTCTCTGACATCATTTTCTGTCAAGAAAACAATTTAACCCGTCAAATTCCGCCACCATCATTAAAGTCATAGGGAAATCAAATTTAAATGTCAAATCATTCTGGCTTAAACATGTATATAAATGTACTCTTTATCAGACGATATTGTCCAAAAATTTAGAAAATTTCTATCTTATGTTATCTTCTGCAGGTCAGTTAGTTCTACGTCAGCCTGAACACCTAAATTCGGCCAATCATAGATCATCTGTCAATCAAATATTTTCGGTCATACCATCTTGATTCATATGTCGCAGCTAATAGACGCAACGGTTGATATCAGAAATCAGAATCCTTTCCT